ACTACTACTACTACTACTACTAGTACTACTACTACTACTACTACTACTACTACTACTACTACTACTACTACTACTACTACTACTACTACTACTCCTACTCTACTACTATTATTGCTACTACTACTACTCCTACTACTACTACTACTACTACTACTACTACTACTACTACTACTACTGCTAGTACTATTACTACTTTCTTCTTTCACTACTACTTTCATTTTTACTTTTACTTTTACTTTTACTTTTACTTTTACCTTTACTTTTACTTTTACTTTTACTTTTGCTTTTACTTTTACTTTTACTGTTACTGTTACTACTACTACCACTACTACTACTACTACTACTACTACTACTACTACTACTACTACTACCGCTACTGCTACAACAACGACGATGAGAAGAAGGAGGAGGACGGCGTTTACCGCTCCTACTAATGTTGCTTTCCTAGAGGCTCCAACTCCTAGGTAGGGTCGCACTGGGATAATTTTGTTTAACTTGCATTTATATCTTCACTGCTACTATTCGACGTCGCTGCCGGTCGTCGTCGTCGCCAGTCGTCCTCGTCGCCGCCGGTCGTCGTTGTCGTTGCCGCTGGTCGTCGTCGATGTTGTCGCCGTCCTGGCCGGTCCTCGTCGTCGTTGCCGTTGCCGCGAGTGATCGTAGGCGTCCTCGTCGTCGTCGTCGTGGGCCTTACCGGGAATGTCACTACTGCTAGTACAGTTACTTCCATCACTGTTGCCAGTACCCTACGGCGGCTGGGCCCCCCGCCCCTCTGCAACGGGCGTTCCAGGGTGGGTACAGTCTAAACCCATGCCAAGAAGCACCCTGCTTGCCTCTAGGGTGCCCTGGGCTTCTTGGGTTTCGATGGCTTTGCTACAGAAAGCGTAACGTTCCCACACTCACAAACAATGGACGTCCTGCTGGGGCCTCAGGGTGGGGTTTCCTGTGGACATGTTTCTTAGGGTCGAGCTCCTACTGTGGAAAAACACGCTCTCCCGGGGAGGGGGGGGCAGCCCCTGGGTCCCAGGTGGGGTCCAGGGCTCCGGTCGTGATGTTCGACGAGGTTTTGTTTCCCCCCGCGACCGCGGATCCCAGAGTCTGGCTTGCACAGATGCGCATCGAAGTGCGAAGGTCGGTGCCTCGAGTTCGGGGGCGTGCCCGTGCCGAGGTTTTTCTCGGGGGCATCTTGTTCATCGCTAACCTCCATGGGTCCTTCGGAGCTTCTGGGTTGCACTGCATCCCGTCAGCCCTGACACATTCCGCCGAATTTGCGCGCCCCGCGCCTCGTCTGGATGTGCGGAGGATGATTTATGATTTGACGGCCCGTGAATTTGGGCCGTGTGTTTCTTTTGCGGGGCTGTGTTTTCTTGGCTCGGTTCGTAACCTGGCTGCAGGAGTTTGCTTAACTGTAGCAGATTGGTCTGGCGGTTGGTGGAACACACCCTACAGGGCCCCAGGGGCTCGCCCAGTGTCTTCTCTGATTGATCCTTGATCGCAGCCCCCACTGTGATGCCTCTGCTTGCTGCTGCTCCTCACCTTCGTCCGTCTCCACTCGTTTCTGTGGGTATCCAGCCAGGGCCAGCAGGAATTGAAACGTTCATGATGAGGACTGAAAGGGCGATCTCGGATCTCTGATCTCATCTTCACTCCTGCCATCGCGCCGCTCACTACCCGACGACGACGACGACGACGACGACGACGACGACGACGAGGACGAGGAGACGGACAGCGGCGACGGCGGTGACCCGCCCGGACTAGAGGTCAGAGTCATCGACCCAAGCGGCAAGGCCCGCCGCGCTGCCGCAGAGAGGGAGGGCCGACGAAGGGAGCAGGAGGCAGCGGAGTCGCGCAGCGATGGTCAGCGCCAACGGGGGTGATCCGATCCCCTCCGATCAGCAATGTAATGGCAGCGTCAACGGCAGGATGAGTCAATCCTCTCGCCAGCTCTTCCGCTTCCCTCCTCTCCTCCCAGCTCATGATGTCTTATACTTGCCGGTGCCGCGGCACAATGTGGGGCCATGTCGCGGAACGAACAGGCGCAGCGTCCAGCGTCCAGTGTCTGATCCCCTCTGGCTGACCCGGGGTTGGATGTCGTGAAATGCCCAGCTTTCGTGGGAGGAGGAGGAGGAGGAGGAGGAGGAGGAGGAGGAGGAGGAGGAGGAGGAGGAGTCACGTCAGGTGTTCAAAGGACCTCGCAGAGGGATCGAGAGGTTGGCACCTCTTGCTCGGCGGAAGGCCGGCGGAAGCCAGCGAGCACCGCGGGCGAAAGCCGGCGGAAGGCTGACGCAGGCCGGCGGAAGCGACAGAAATAGCCTCCAAGAGATGCCTCAGAGAAGGAAAGGGTTCCCCTAGCTCTACCCCCTCGCTCGTTTTCCCAGTTTTGGGCCTCCTTGAAGGCCCTCGTCGCCACCGCTGGACTCGCCTCGAAAAGTCCTGGTCAGAACTCATCCTGGGAGAGGCCCGGGGGGTAGCAGCTGTATCGGTACCCTGTGGTCCCCCCAAGGACAGGGCAGAGCGCTCCGGAACGCTCTCGGAGCGTTTCTGGAGCGCTCCGGAACGGCCGCGGCACCCGATGCATCCTTTAGAACCGCCAGAGCTCAGGAGCCGGGGGGGTAGCGGTATCGGTACCTGCTGGCTTCCCCCACGCCATCTTTCTTGGATCCACAGCCGACCCCCCCTGGCTTTGGGAGCCGCTCCGTGCCCGGGGGTCGCGCGACATGGCAGCTGGCGGACCGCGGGCCATGGCAGAGCGCGGACCTAGTAACTAAGCGCGCCCCCGGCAGTGCTGTCTTTTCACAGTGTGGACCCCGGGAGGTCCAGACCGCCTCCCCTGGACGGGCATTCCATCCCGAGTCGGGCCCGCGACAGAGGACCCGGACCTCCGCATCTGCGCTGTCTTTTCATCCACAGGGTCGACCCAGCACGAGCACGTCTCATAGACGAACTTCACTACAACGGACCTGTACTTCCCAGCCGACGGTTGGGTCGAGCACTCATCAGCGACAGGCTCTCGGCCTACGCGGATTTCGTGGCTGATCCGCTCTTGGACTACCTCCGGCGATTGCCCGGGCAGAACGATCCAGGGAGGTCCAGAGCGCTTCCCCAGGACCGGCATGTCATCCCGAGCCCTTCTGTGCTGGCCGTGGGGTGCGCCGAGGGCCCTGGAGACCGAGAGCAAGCCAAGATTTGCCGTCGCGACGCTGCACGACGGCGAGGATGCGTCGCAAGAGGAGCGAGGCGGCCGTCAGTCAGGATGCACTTCCTGGGAGATTGAATTCCACAAGTTTTGCCAAATCCGCTGCAGTCCCGCTGAATTTTCCTAGTACCGCTTCATATGGTTCATGCCGATTGGCTAATGCGGCTTAGCGTCCCCATCATCAGGCCGAATAGCTTGTAACCGTTTTTTTTGCGCAGGCCTCCCATGAGTTTTCCTTTGTCTTTCCATCGCGTCAGGAGGAGTAGCCCTCGAGGAGCTGTTTCATAACCGTCTCCTCCTCCTCCTCCTCCTCCTCCTCCTCCTCCTCCTCCTCCTCCTCCCCAGGAGGTGTTCCTCCTCCACCTCCTCCGTCCACCTCCTCCCTCCGCTGCTCCTCTCTCTCCTCGTCCTCTTACTCCGCCTTTATTCTCCTCCAGCTCCACCCCGCCAGGCGCCCCGAGGAGCTTCCCGAGGCCCACAACTGGCCAGAAGCCTCCCAAGGCCTCGGCATCCCCGCACCTCGAGCCCCTTTCCTCGGCCGCGGAGCCCGGCTCATGGCAGCGGCAGCAGCGGGCGGGAGGCAGCCGCAGTAGTTGTCCTGCGCGCAGGGGTGGTCCCTGGCCGCAGTGAGCTTCATTGGCGCGGGCCCCCCAAGACTTCCTCGCGCCGTGGATTGCAGCGGGAAGTTCTGCGTTGTCTGCGGCCTCTGGGGCGAAGTCGGGCATGCCTCCCTACAGGAGGAGGAAGATCCAAACAGAGTCACAAATCAGTCAGGGGACGATTTCTAGAACATGTTTGACTATGTTTGAATACCCTTTCGCTACTGTTCGATTTTTCTTCCAGAATCCGCCTGTAGGAGGACATGCTCGACCTCACCCTGGGTAGAGGGCCGCATGCGAACCCTACCCCTACCCCCCACGATTTCTGAGGAGGAGGGTGGGGTTCACTTCGTTCGGGCGCTCCCGAGCGATGTGAACCCCAGTCAGCACCTCGTTCGTAGAGTGCGCAGGTGATGCTCGGGGTAGGTAGGTGGGTTTCTTCATTTTCTTGTTGCCATAAGAGTTCAGAGTTGCAGAGAATGCTGCAGTTCAATCGTGGCGATTCGTCTTCTTCCGCATGTGTCCTTGGCTCGGGGTGTCGAGAGGGAGAGCCCTCGACTGAAGCACGCCCAACTGGGCCAGGTGCACCCAAAACAGGAGAGCTTGATATCGTACAGTCGTGTCCTTGATTGGGGTAGGGCTCGCATGTGGCCCCCCACGCGCCCCACTGGGGGCGCCCGCCCGCCGGGCCCCCTTGCGCGCAGGCAGCCGAGCCATGGAGAAGTGGCTCTGCAAGACCTTGGAGCCGGCTGTGGGTCCGAGGTGGCTTGGCACCGGCTCCGGCGAGCACGAAGCGGGGGCGAGGTTCGAGGTGCGGGGTTCGAGAAGAGTGTTGCCTTTCTCGGTCTTTGGATCCCGTCTTCGGGCCTCGGGACCGTCAAACGCGATTCCCGGGTGAAGAGCTGCACCAGATGGATCTCAGGAGGGGTGCGGGGACCGATCTCGAGAGGGTTTGGTCGCATCCTTCCTTCTTGGCCGATGTTCTATCGGGGCCCATCCAGTTCGGACCCCCCGGCCACCTCCAAGCAAGACCTGCCTCCATCCCAGAACCGGCAAGCCGCTCCTCAACTTCGCGGAGAATGAGGAGTGCTTCAGCTGCGGCCTCCCGAAGGCGTCCTGCTTCGGTGGCCACGCGCCACCGGCAACCCCGCCTCGGGGGGCAGCCTCCTCCTTGTCCGAGGCCGGAGGCCAAGAGGCTGCCACCAACACCAGTATCGGCGGTGCGCCTCCACCGAGGGAAGCTGCTCCAGATCTCGGCGATGGTGGCAATACTCGGGCATCCTGAGTGACCGAAGCACCACCACCAGCACGAAAATCTAGGACCATCTTCCCCCGTAGGAGGCAACACCCTCTGTAGGTCGGGCGTTGCGCAATGGGTGGGGGCGATAGATGGGGGGTCGGAGACTGGTGCACCTCTCGTGCCCTATTAGGGGCCCCAGAAGGCCCCCCCCACGGGCCCAACAGGGGCACGAGCGGTGCACGTTCCCTCCTCCACCCACCATCCCATTTGGGGCGATTTCGAAAGCCCTGAACCCAAAAACATTTTCATCTCTGGGGGGCGCATTTCGCACTTCCGCCGCCTTCCGCCGAGCTTCCGCCGGCGCTCGCTTTTTTTATCCGCCGCCCTTCCGCGGCGGAAGAGGTGACAACTCCTTCGATCCTCGAAGCCAAAGCCTACCTCTGGAACGCCTCATTCATCGCTCCCTCATTACCTAGACATGCGACGTCCTGATTTTTTCAGGACGGCGTCCCCAGAAGTCCAGACCCTTTCCCCGGGGCCGGCTTTTCGTCCCGCGTTTCTTGACGGCCCTGGGACCTGGCGAGGGCCCCCCGGGGCCGAAAGTAGCGAAACATTTGCCGTCTTGATTTTGTTACGACGCGATCATGCCTGAGTAAGCAACGCCCGACGTTGGCGTTGGTGCCCACCTCCGGGCCTCCAACAAGGGGCCTCCGGCTGACGCCCCCGAGGGGGCCGGCACCTCCAACATCGCGCGCCGGCGCCGCCGGCAGCGAGAGGCCGCCGCGGCCAAGCGCGGGGCAGGCGCGCAGAGGAGCGCGGCGGGGCGCCCAGGCGGGCAGCCCGACCTTCCACCCGCTCAACCTCCTCTTCCTCCTCTTCCTCCTCCTCCGCCTCCTCCGCCTCCTCCTCCTCCTCCTCCTCCTCCTCCTCCTCCGCCTCCTCCGCCTCCTCCGCCTCCTCCGCCTCCTCCGCCCCCGCCTCCTCCTCCGCCTCCTTCTCCGCCTCCTCCTCCTCTTCCTCCTCTTCCTCCTCCTCCGCCTCCTCCGCCTCCTCCTCCTCCTCCGCCTCCTCCTCCGCCTCCTCCGCCCCCGCCTCCTCATCCGCCTCCTTCTCCGCTCCTCCGCCTCCTCCGCCTCCTCGCCTCCGCCTCCTCCTCCTCCTCGCCTCCTCCGCCTCCTCCGCCTCCTCCGCCTCCGCCTCCTCCTCCTCCTCCTCCTCCTCCGCCTCCTCCTCCTCCTCCGCCTCCGCCTCCTCCGCCTCCTCCTCCTCCTCCTTCTCCTCCTCCGCCTCCTCCGCCTTCTCCGCCTCCTCCGCCTCCTCCACCTCCTCCGCCTCCTCCTTCTCCTCCTGGTCCTCCTCCTCCTCCTCGTCCTCCTCCTCCTCCTCCTCCTCCTCCTCCTCCTCCTCCTCCGCCTCTTCCTCCTCCTCTTCCAGCCTCTTCCAGCACAATCTCCCACCTTGCGATCGTTCTCTAATTCGTCGTTTTGCCGAGGGGCGCGGGCCCTCGCACCTCCCTTCTCTCCTCCGCCTCCTCCGCCTCCTCCTCCTCCTCCTCCTCCTCCTCCGCCTCCTCCGCCTCCTCCGCCCCCGCCTCCTCCTCCGCCTCCTTCTCCGCCTCCTCCGCCTCCTCCGCCTCCTCCGCCTCCGCCTCCTCCGCCTCCTCCTCCTCCTTCGCCTCCTCCTCCTCCTCCGCCTCCTCCGCCTCCGCCTCCTCCTCCTCCTCCGCCTCCTCCGCCTCCTCCTCCTCCTCCTCCGCCTCTGCCTCTCCGCCTCCTCCTCTCTCCTCCTCTCCTCCTCCTCCTCCTCCTTCTCCTCTCCGCCTCCTCCGCCTCCTCCGCCTCCTCCGTTTCCTCCACCTCCTCCGCCTCCTCCTTCTCCTCCTCGTCCTCCTCCTCCTCCTCGTCCTCCTCCTCCTCCTCCTCCGCCTCCTCTTCCTCCTCCTCTTCCAGCCTCTTCCAGCCCAATCTCCCACCTTGCGATCGTTTTCTAATTCGTTGTTTTGCGGAGGGGCGCGGGCCCTCGCACCTCCCTTCCCCCATCCCTCGAAGAACAACGAAAAGGCATGAACATAAACTTGTGGTGCTCCGAGCGGATTTCTTGGATCGGTACTGCCCCCCCCGGCGGCGCCTCCGGCGGCGCCCCTGGCGCGCTCCGCGCGCCAGGAAGGGGTGTCCAGCGCAGATCCGAGAAATCTGCGCGGAGCGCCAAAAGTTTGTGTTTATGCAGATGTTACGTATTCTATCACTGTTTTGCCGATCGGCGCGGGCCCTCGCACCCCCCTCCCCCCCCCCCTGGAGTAGAACTTGGCATTTTTTTGCGCCTGTTTGCAGCAGGTGAAGTCTCCCCGAGCGGGCGCGCAGTGTTGCAAAGAGTCGCACTAAGCAGAGGTCCGGAGCCAGACCCCCCCTCCCCTCCCGCCCCCCCTTCCACCCGATGTCAAAACGCTGAATCAGAAAACGTCCACCTTGGAGTCAGCTTGGGGTCTGGGGTGGCTCCTCTGGCCAGCAGGAAGGGCGGGCAGGTTCGAGGTTCGTCGCCGTCGTCGCCGTCGTCGTCATCGTCGTCGTCGCCGAAGATGAGCTCACATGTTTACCCAGACCGCTGGCGGCCTGGAGAGACCAGGCCTCCCTCCGATTTTAGTAATCTGGGGTCCCTCCTCCTCCTACTCCTCCATCTCCTCCCTCCTCCCTCCTCCTTCCTCCCTCCTCCCTCCTCCTCCTCCTCCTCCTCCTCCTCCTCCTCCTCCTCCTCCTCCTCCTCCTCCTCCGCCTCCTCTTCCATCTCCTCCTCCTCCCCCTCCTCCTCCTCTTCCTCCTCCTCCTCCTCCTCCTCCTCCTCCTCCTCTTCCCAAGTCCCGGCCCTTTCCCCAGGGCCGGGTGTTCCACCCCGAGTCGGCCTCTGACGGCCCCAGGGCCCAGCGAGGCCCCCCGCAGTCAAGACGCTGCCCTCTGCAACAAAACTCGCCGCGTCGGCGCGAAGAACATCTGCGCCGCCGCCGCCGCCGCCGTCGCCGTCGTCGTCGCCGTCGTCGCCGTCGCCGTCGCCGCCGCCGCCGTCGCCGTCGTCGTCGCCGTCGTCGCCGTCGTCGGGCCGCGCCGTGGGGAGCACCGCGCCGACCGCGCCGCGCGGGCGACGGCGCTCCGCGCGCGCTCCGCGGGCCGCCGCCGGGGGGGGGCCCGCGCCCGGCGCCGGCGCCCGCGCCCGGCGCGGGCCCTCGCGGCGCGGGCCCGCGGCGCGCGCGGGGAGCCGCCGCCGCCCGCGCGGCGCGGTCGGCGCGGGCGGGCTCGGCGCGGGGGCGCCCGGCGCGCGGCGGGGCTGCGGCGGGGCTCGCATGCAGCGATGCCTCGGGCTCGGTGGCTGCCGAGCCCGGTGCCGATTCGGCCGATCGGAGGCTCGGGTTCTGCTTCGGTGGCTGCCGATGTTCCTCGGGCTCGCTCCGGGTTCTGGTGCGGCGGCTGCCGGACGCCGATCTGCCGATGCCTCGGGCTCGCTGCTCGGTTCGGCGCACGGTTGGCTGCCGAGCCCGGTGCCGATTCGGCTCCGGATGTTCCGGTCTGGGCTCCGGTCTTTGAGCTCGGGGGCGGCGGGCCGGGGGATGACTGGGGCGGGGGGGTATCGTGGCGGGGGCCAGGATCTGCCCCCAGATGTCATGGCGCCTCTTCTTATTTCGTTGCGTCCCTGGCCCCCCCGCTGGGCCGCGCACATGCCGCCGGTCATGATTTGCACCCCGCCCTCTTGGTCACCCCCCTCTTGGTCGCTCCCGATGAGTGGACGCGTGCTAGCCTGCCGATCTCTGCCGAGTCGGCTTTTCCTGGTTCGGCTGCCGATGTCCGCCGATCCGATTCATTTCGATCGCCGATCCGACTTATCGATGCGGTTCTTGGCTCTCCTGCTTCATCGCGGATGGCGGGCGGCGCGGCTCAGCGTTAAGTCGGGCATGTCCCTCTACAGGAGGAACATTCAAAGATAATATGAAACAATAGTCCAGGGGCAATGTTTTGCCTGTTCTCAACTAGTGTTGAATATTCGTTGGGTAGCTGTCTTTCAAAATCCGCCTGTAGGAGGACCTGCCCGACCTAATTTTAGCGGCGCGGTGAGACAGACGAGGCCACCCGAAGGTGCAACTTGTAGGCGCCCGTGCGGCCGCGCAGGGGCGACCCTGGTTGACCCGGGGTCCCACTCCCCCCGCCCCCGGCACCCCCTTCCCACCGCGAATCGGCCATATGTGCGAGTGGCCTCTCGACGGAGTGGCCTTCGGTGCGGGCCCACTGGGACCCCCAGGTGGCGGAACGCGATGCGATGGTAGCGTATTGCGCGCTTGTGTTTGGTCCCCTTGCGGCCCCCAAGAAGCCGCAGGAGGGGAAAAAACACAGACACAATTAATCGTCGATTCCCAGGAAAATATAGGAAAATATGGGAAGTGAGGGGGAAGACACAAACCCAGAAAATATGGGAAAATATGGTGAATCTGTTTATTCCCTACCTAGGCTCTGCCTAGAAGGGTTCTTACTCTCTTAGCTTAAAGGGGCCGGGCAGTGGAAAGCGCCCCGGGCGGTTCCCCCAGTCCCCTGGGAGTGGTTCCGCCCAGTCCCCTGGGAGCTTTAGCTTTAGCTTTAGCTTTAGCTTCAGTTTAGCTTTAGCTTGGCTTTAGCTTAGCTTTAGCTTAGCTTTAGCTTAGCTTTAGCTTAGCTTTAGCTTAGCTTTAGCTTAGCGGTAGCTTAGCTTTAGCTTAGCTGTTGCTCAGCTTTAGCTTAGCTTTAGCTTAGCTTTAGCTTAGCTTAGCTTTAGCTTTTTAGCTTAGCTTTAGCTTAGCTTTAGCTTAGCTTAGCTTAGCTTAGCTTAGCTGTTGCTCAGCTTTAGCTTAGCTGCTGCTCAGCTTTAGCTTAGCGTTAGCTTAGCTTTAGCTTAGCTTTAGCTTAAATTTAGCTTAGCTGTGGCTTAGCTTTAGCTTAGCTTTAGCTTAGCGTTACTGTTACTACTAATGCTGCTTTCCTAGGGGTTCCAACTCCTAGGTAGGGTCGCACTGGGATAATTTGTGTGCATTTATTTGTGTGTCCTGGGGCCCCTTCACTTACCCAGGGCCACTCTTGCGTGTGGTGGAGCATCAGTGACCGCGGGCTGCTGGAAGTGGCCCTGGCCCAAGGTGCCCCCGAGCTCCTCGTACCATTTTGGAGCGCTGGCCTCTCAGGAACTCCCAGGGGCACCTTGGGCCAGGGACGCCTCTTCCCAGACATGAGGGCGTCGTAAAAAAATCAGGACAGGAGGTTTTTCAGTATTTTCGGCCCCTGGGGGCCCTCGCTGGGCCTCGGGACCGTCAGAAAACGACTCAGGACGAAAAACCGGCCCCAGGGAAAGGGTCTAGATTTCCTAGGGGCGCTGTCCTGAAAAAATCAGGACGTCGCATGTCCGGGTTGACAGCACCCGAAGCGACGCCGCCCACCCGAGGAGCGAGCCCCTGCAGCGGCTGCCGAGCATGCCGCGGCTGCAGCTGTACCTCTGCACCAGGGCGCTCAGCGAGTGCGGGAGGGACGGGGAGTGGCTGCAGGCGCTGCGCTTGCTCGGCGAGGCGCAGGCGTCGGAGGGCGCCAAGTGTGCACATGCACCACCGACCCCGAGCAGTCCCGTCCTGGTGTTCACCGGCTCTGGGCCCAGGACGGGCCTGGCCAGGAGCGGTGCAATTGTGTGTGTGTGTGTGTTGTCGGTGCCCTGCCGAGGCGGTGCGCCTGGAGCTGGACGCCATGTGCTGCAGCGCCGCAATCAGCGCGTGCGGGAGGGCCAGCGAGTGGCAGCAGGCCGTGTCGCTGTTCGGCGGGCTGCGGCGGGCGGGGCTGGAGGCCGACGCGGTTAGCGTTGCGGCCGCGGTCAGCGCCTGCGAGGGGTGCGGGAGATGGCAGCAGGCGCTGTCGCTGGTCACCGAGTCGCGGGAGGCGGCGCTGGAAGCTAGCGTCGTTTGCCTCAGTGCCGGGATCAGCGCGTGCGCGAAGGGCGGACAGTGGGCGTTGGCGCTGTCGTTGCTTGGCGAGATGCGGGAGGCAAAATTGGAGCCGGACGTCACTCACTAGCCTAACCCTTGAACCTTGGCACGAGGCCGAGATTCCAAACGCTTCCGCTTCAGTGGTAGGATGAACCAAATCGACTGTATCCCAACGGCCTTCTACATAGCTCTCGAAGAGGTTGATGTGTGGGATTCCAGTGGATAATCAACACAGTAATTTTACGCATCCAGGAAGAAGCTGGTATCTAGGCGCCAAGCAGGCCTCAGGGACCCGAGGACGCAAGTGGCATATAACTCAAACCGGATTTCGACGAGAAAGGAGCCCCTGTATTTCTATATTCCTATTCGCATATTTCTATTGCCCGGAAGCCCCCCCCGCCCCCACCCCCTTAAACCGAACCTCCCCCCCCAGGGACGGCCTGGACGCCCTTTCGGACGTCTCGGCAACCGCCTGGACGCCCTTGGAGAAGGTCCGGTGCTCCTTCCGAGCCTCCCAGGGCGCCTTGCTGGGCCTTGCGAGCAGACTCAAGGCGATCAGGGGGGTCATCGGAAAGGCGCACGAGAGACCCGAGACAGCACAAGAGCGCTCCAAGAGGAACCCTGATGGTCTGAAGACGGCCCAAGAGGCCCCCAAGACGCCCCAAGAAACCGTTGAGAGAGCCCCGAAGAAGCAAAACTCGTCCAATTTATTTGGGGAGATGTATATTTCTAGCATATCCGCTTTTTGGGTTCTCGCAGCGCCCAAGACGGCCCGATGGGCTCCCGATATCGCCCCAAGAGGCCCAAGAGGGCCCCAAACCTGCCTCAGAGAGCCCCGAGACTGGCCACAGGAAGCCCAAGATGCCCCCAGAAGGCTCTCAAGAGAGACCCACGGAAGCCATGGGAGACCCCCAAGAAGGCCATTGGAGGGCTTCAGAAGACCTCTGGAGGGCCCCAGCTCCCCAAGACGGCCCAAGAAGGCCCCAGGACGGCCCAAAAGAGCCCCAAACTCGCCCAGACGGCGCTCTCCTACGAAGTACATCGAGCTGACCCGAAGATCTTGGTTCCACGCTTGAGGCTCGAGGTTCAATTCCTCGATCGAGATAGACAGGCAATGGATCTAGATTCGAAGTTCGACGATCGAAGATTTCCTGAGTGCCTGGGGCCCCCAGGCATTCAGGAAGCGGCCGACAAAATATGTTTGTTCGGAGCTACTGCGACGTCTTCGGCGTGTCATGGGAACGCTCTTTGCTTCCTCAATGGATGGACTCACCACCAGAGGAGGCGCACGAGGACGAAAAAAGGAGGAATGGATGGGTAGGGAGAACCTTGGAGGTGGCAGGTGAAAAGCCAGACGAAACTTTTCTCCCAATCTCCTCCCATGAGGAGCCGGTCACCCGTCCAGACATCGAGGTCCCCCCTTCCGACGCAATCGATGATTTATTCAGTTGCCGGGGAAGCGTCCAGAACAAGGCGCATGGCGGGAAGCGCCAATTCAGTCTTGTATATACATATATATACACACATGTTGACGCCTCCCTCTCAGCAACCATTCCTACCAGCATTACATGTTTCTCTCTCTCTCTCTCTTTTCCTATCCCTCTCTCTCCCTCTGTCTCCGTCTCTCTCTCTCTCTTTGTCTCCTTCTCTCTATATATACACATATGATATTATATTTATACATAGCTGTATTTCGCTCTCGCTCTCTCTCTCTCTCATCTCTCTATCTCTCTCTCTCTCTCTCTCTCCCCCTCTCTCTCACTCCCACACGCCCAACACTCCATGGGAACACACCAGGATTGCGAGATGAGGGGTGAGGAAACCCTGTGTATGTCGTTGCGGTTTTGGGGATTCTTGGGATGAGAAGTGAAGAAGTCACATGTTTTCATTCGAATTGCTGGTGGATTTTTCGGATTTTCCTCCCTCCAGCGGAAGTCCAAACCAGGAGCCCCCCACGGAGCTCCGATCCTTGGGATCCACTTCATCTAAAACAACATGAGACACATGGTTTCCTCACTCCTTCCCCCAGTAATCCGAAAACTCCGAACGAGACCGAAGGGTGTGCGATGCCAGGCGTTCGGAGTCCCTTTGTTGTCATCGGGTCTTTTTTGGATTCTGGGGCAACGTGATGAAACCATGTGTTCTCATTTAGATGTGTTGGATGTTTGGGGTTGCTCTTCTTCCAGCGAAAGTCCAACCCAGGAGCCCTCCCAGGAGCTCCAATCCGCAGAATCAGCAAACAACACCAGACCCAAATGAAACCATATGGCCCCCGCATGTCTCATCCCAGAAATCCCAGACGTCCAAATGACAACGAGTGGTGTGCTGTGCCATGGGTGCGGGGCCCCTGTGTCTTCTTGTGTTGGTTTGGGGGGCTTTGTGATGAGAGGTGAGGAGACCATTTGTTTCATTTGGATGTTTGAGATTCTGGTGATCGGGGATCCTGGGAAGGCTCCTGGATGGGATTTTCGCGTCAGGGAAGAGCATCCCAAGCATCCCAAACATCCAACACTCCAAGTGAGCACGCATGGTTCCCCAACAGTCCAAATGACAGCACGTGGTTGCCGTACCCCTGGCATCGCACACCTTGTGTTTTCTCCGGGGTTTTGCTGTGCGTCTGGGAGAACGAGAGCGAAAGCGAAAGAGAGAGAGAGAGAGAGAGAAAGGGAGAGAGGGAGAGAGAGAGAGAGAGCGAGACAGAGAGAGAAAGAAATTGATATAGAGAGAGAGAGGGAGTGAGAGAAACAGAGAGAGAGAGAGAGAGAGACAGAGAGACTCAGAGAGACAGAGCGAGAGAGAGAGACAGATAGACAGAGAGAGATAGGCATATTCCAAGACCAGCTAAGTCCAATTGTGTTCCCTTTTGTCATATAGTTGGGATCTAATTGGGGTGGTGCGGATCACGGATCCAGCCCGTTTCAATTAGACCAGTTGCCCTTCTGCGAGGATCAGGTGATGCACTCCTGCCTGCAGTTCCCCCCTGGCGACGCTCTGAGCACTGGTGGTTGTGACGTGGCCCCCACGCGACGTTCATCCCTGTCTTTGGTGGTGGTGGTTGCCACTCGGGATTCACGATTTGTCCACCATTGTTTGGGTCTGTGACGGCCCGCCTTCGAGCACCTGCTGCTCCGTGAGTGAGGCATCCTTCTTTTCCCCCCTCGTCCCTTCTTCCTGGCGCCCTGCTCAGCGCCTGGTTCCATGGTGCTGGCGCCACGTGCGTCGCCACGTGCGGCTGGCAGCGACAGGCGCTCTGCATCTCTTAGGCGTGTTGCCTCCGTCTGCCCGTTTTCCCCAATTTGTTCTGCATGTTGCAAGTGCGGTCGGCTGTCGACAGTGACAGCTGAGTTCGCAAATTATTTGGCTCTGTGCCCCAGTCAGCCCGATTGACACGCCCTCTGGACTCTTCCTTGCGGGCCGCAGATCAAAAAAAAACACCAGCCCATCCAGAAACGATGCGCAGACGAATTGCCTCGATCAGGGAAGTGGGCAGCACACAGAGGAAGGGTCCCCCAGTGGAGGCCTCTTGGAGCGTCTTGGGGGCCTCTTGGCGGTCCCGGGCGCCTCTTACGGCGTCTTGGGTGCCTCGGAGCGCTTCTTGGGGCCTCATGGGGGTCTCTTGGGAGCCTCTTGGGGGCCTCCTGGGCGCCTGTTAGGGCCTCCTGGGCGCATCTCGGGGCCCTCTTGAAACGCTATTGGGAGCTTGGGGGCGCTCTTGGAGCCCTCCTGGGCCATCTTAGGGCCATCTTGAGGCCTCGGATGGCCATCGGAGGCGAGAAAGTCAAACAACAGTGGTGTTCCCAAGGTTTTGAACGGATTTTGGCCCCTCCGCGGCCTCCAGGGTGAGCTCGTTGGCCACTTGGAGCCGTCTTCGAGCGGTCTTGGGGCCTCTTGGAGCATCGTGGGAGCCATCTTGAGGCACCTTGGTGTATCTAGAGCCATCTTGGAGGTCATCTTGGGCTCTCCCAGGCGCTCTTGGAGTCATCTTAAGCAGCCCCCCCCCCAGGAGGCCCAAATGGGGCCAACACCTTAGTACAACCAATGAGTTTGGCTTCATCGCCGAGGCCGTTTTAAACGCTCCGACCGCTCGCGGAACGCCCCGTCCAGGTCCAGAGGAGGGGGTAGGGGGAGGGGTAAACCTCTCCCCGAAGGGGAAGAGGGAGGGGTGGAAGAGGAAACGCCCTAAACCACCTATGCCCAGAGAGTTGGTGGGATTATGTGAATCATGTTCGAATCTAAGTGTAAGTGAGCAGATCCCAGATCCAGATGTGTCGATTCTGAATATAATCTAACGTAGCAGATTCCAGATGCAGCTGTTTCCAAGTGGATCCCAGTTGTATTCCTAATATGACCCAGCTCGAATGGAGCAGATCCCATATGCAGCTGGGCCTAAGTTCGTTCCAAGTGGAATCTGATTAGAATCGACGTGGGATGGAGCAGATCCCAGATCCAGCTGATTCCGATTTGATTCCTATCGGGCTACGATTCACATCTTATTGAAATTGGGCAGATCTCAGGTGCAGTTGGTTTTAATGTGATTCCGATTGGAATCGAATTATAATATACTTGGAATGGGGCACGTCCCAGATACAGCTGTGTTCACTTGGAATTCCTATTGGCATCTACTTAGAGCCGAATTGGAATGAGGCAGATCACAGATCCAGCTGGTTCCAAATTCATTCCTATTGAAATCGAATTCGAATCTAGGTGGAATGAAGCAGGTCCCATATCCAGGTGATTACAGTTGGATTCCGAGTGGAATCGAATTAGAGTCGAATTGGAATGGAGCAGATCCCACATACAGCTTTTTATAATTGCATTCCCATTGGAATCGACTTCGAATCTGATTCGAATTGGGCAGGGCCCAGATCCAATTGATTACGATTGGATTCCTACAGGGATCGGATTAGAAGCTTCTTGCTTGGAATTGAGCAGGTCCACGATCCAGCTGTTTCCAATTGGATTCCGAGACGAGGAGGAGAACGGAGAGTAAAGCAAAGAGGCGAGGAGGCGAACCGACAGTAAAGATGACGATCTCAGCGCGAATCGCCGATGGCATAAATCAATGGGTGCTGGCGGGGGTGGCTGCGCACACATAGCACGCACGGATATCCCTATTGTTCGTTTTATTACCCGGAAGCCTCCCCACCACCCCTCACCCCCTAAACTGGACCCCCTCCCACAGGGACGCCCCGGACGCCCTTTCGGACGTCTCGGCGACCCCCGGGACGCCCTTGGCAAAGGTCCGCTGGCCCTTCCAGGGCCTTTTTCTGGGCATTGCGAGCAGGCTCGAAGCGATCAGAAGGGTCGGAGAGGCGCAAGAGAGACCGAAGACAGCACAAGAGCGCTCCAAGAGGAACCTCGATGGTCCGAAGACGGCGCAGGAGGCCCCCAAGACGCCCCAAGAGGCCGTCAAGAGAGCCCCGAAGCGACAAAAATCGTCCCCTTCCTGTTTGGGAAGATGTAGATGTTTAGCATATCCGCTGCTTGGTTCTTCGCAGCGTCCAAGACGGCCCGATGGGCCCCTGGTATTGCCCCACCACGGCCCAAGAGGCCCCCCAGAGGGTTGAAGACGTCCCAGATTGGCCCCAAGACTGGCCCAGAGAGCCCCGAGGAGACTTCCACAAAAAACCCACAATGCCCCCAGAAAGCTCCCAAGAGAAACCCACGAAAGCCACGGGAGACCTCCAAGAAGGCCATTGGAGGCCCCCAAGAGGGCCCTAGATGGCTTCAGAAGGCCCCACCTCCCCACGACGGCCCAATAAGGCCCCACGACGGGCCAAAAGGGCCGCAGGACGGTTGAAAAAAACAGCAAAAACGCCCAGACGGCGTTCTCCGTACGCTCGTTGCGCTCCCGCCAGCTCGCCTGTCTTTCCTGTACCTCTATCATTCTCTCTCTCTCTCTCTCTCCCTTCCACCCTCTGCCTTCTTCGTCGACCTCAACGTTCGTCGCATCCGATGGCCATCCTCATTCGCCCGTTCCTTCCTCTGGACCGTCTCCCCGTTTCTCCCCCCTCCTCACCCCTTCCGCCTCTTCAGCCCCCCCTCATCCCCGCTCCCTTCCCATTCCCCGTTCATGGACACGTACCATCGCAACAGTTTGGTGCTTCGTTGATTGCCAGCACCTTCGCGCGCAAAACAAATCATTCCTTCCCCACTCCTGCGCGCAAGCGTGCAAGTGCATCGGGCGAACGCGGTGTTAGCAGGCACCAGGGACATCAGACACATGAGCCGATCGCCCGACCAGGCCTCGAGGTCCCCCTGCTGAAGCAAGCGATGCTTAATTGCTATGCCGGGAAAGCGCCCAAAACAAGGCGCATGGCGCGACGCGCCAATGCAGTCTTTATATTTACATATATATATATATGTATATAGATACACACTTATATATATATACATACATATATTTGTGTGTACACACAAACTACCAACACATCTCTTACCGTACGGAGATTCTGGTTGTCCATGGTGTTTCTCGATTTTGAGACACCTGTGGCACATGCCTCACGCTGAGGAGTGGCCGTCGCGCTCCTCCTCGCACTGCAGGAGCGCCATGGACAGTTTTTCTCGACAAAAGTGCGCGTTGGAGGCAGCACGGTCGTGCGACGAGTTGCCCGCACCGTGGGCTTCTGCCTGCAGATGGGCCGCTCCAGGAAACCTTTTGTCCGACGAAGTGAAGACTTGACTTCCCCGCCTCGGCGCAGGGTGGCGGAAAACCATTGGATTTCAGCGGGAGTAGTGCAACGACTATGCGCCAGCTTCGCCAGCTGAAGCTTATCATAACTTTGTGGAAGTGAAGGCGTGCTTCCCATGAGAAGCCTACGTCGGTGCGCGCCGGCTTTTCGGAGCTGGCGGGATGGCGCAGCGCCGTTTATTCAGTCGGCGTCTTCTCTGGAGGATGATGAGTTGTTCCCGCATGGGGAAGAGCTGGCCGAGCGTCGTCACTGTTTGCACGCCTTTGCCCCAGATGTGTCCTGCGTTCCCGCTGTGACGCATTTCGACATAGCAGGCGTTACCTGGACAGACTGGCGGCGCATGACCTGTTGGTAGACATTGACGCTACGAGGAGCGATGGCGATCATTAGCCGTAGGCTGAACTTTGAACTTTTTTTTGGCGTGCAGCTCAAATTGTGCGTTACGTAGTGGGACTGGCTTGTTCTAGCAAGCACGCTGCAATCGCGCTCATATCGTATGGGCACAACAGAGTCGTAACCCTAGCAGTGCTAGGTCAGTGCTAGGCATCTTCACGTGGCTGCTGACAGCAAAGCCAGATACACGCACAAGCATCGCTCGTCCTACATCTGCCAGGGCTTTTTGGTATAGTTATTTTATTCGGCGTTTTGGACATCATTGGTTTAGCGCTTGAAGATCCCAACAGAAAACCTAACACGGAAAACAAATGCTTGATTTTTTGGGAGGGTAGTTGACTGCCTTGCTTAATATTGCCGCTTACGACGTCCTCAGTTCATTATCCTTGCGTCTAATCCTCCCGAACGTATTTTGATTCCAACAGTCTTATGTTTTTTTGGGGGGGTATTTTCCGGCCGTCGTTGAGTTCGGTGTTTCGCGCCTCGGCCGTCGCTTATGGGGCCTACGTGCCTGTTTCGCGCTGGTGTTGCACCGGTGTTAGGGCGTTGTTCGGTGTTGCATTGTTTGATCTGCGCGCGGAGCGGGAGAGACGGGGGCAGCAGGAGTGGGAGAGCGGGAGCGACGACAGCGGGGAAGACAAGGAGCAGCCCTCGACGAGAACGCAACAAACGCTAAAGAAATGGGAATCCACAGCGACTGGCCTAAAGACGCTAACAACAACGAAGTGGAACACGCTAACATAACGTAGCGTTGTTCAAAGCGTTGCTAGCCTGTCAAGAATCCAACATTCAAAGCTAGATTAAACAAATCGCCCAGGGCGTTTTTTTGGGGGGGTGAACCCAGCGCGTAAGAGAGTTGATATTTGATCGGTTTTGTCTAGCCTGCGTTGGATATTAGCCTCGTTGCACCCTTGCACCCTTGCTTTCTGCATCAGCGCCCCATTTTCCAGGAAAGTGCACGTGTCATGAGTGTAAGCCACTCGAAGTTGAACATGTGTTGTGCGATGTGGGCAGATGCTTACTATTGTCATATTCTTACTCTGTATAAGTATACGAGTAAAGTGAAGGCGCGTGGACACCTTCCACACACTGTTCTTCTGCGGGAGCCAATAGGTCATTGCCATTTTCACCCGCAGAAGAGCATCTCACTCGCGGGTGCCAGTCCACGGGTCAGCCACGGTCAGCTTCAATGTTGGCGTCAGCGCTTGCGAGAAGGGTGGTCAGTGGCAACACGCGTTATCGTTGCTCAGGGAGTTGTCGAACACAGAATTGGAGGCGGACGTGATCAGTTACAGCGCTGGAATCAGCGCTTGCGAAAAATGCGAGCAGTGGCAATTGGCATTGTTGCTTTTTGCGGAGATGCGTGGAGCGAAGGTGGAGGCAAATGCTATCAGCTGCAATGCCGGAATCAGCGCCTGCGAGAAAGGCGGCAATTGGCAGCAGGCATTGATGCTGTTCAGCGAGTTGTGTCAGAGTTCGTTGGAGGCAGATGTGGTTAGCTTCAATGCTGCCATTAGCGCGTGCGCGAAGAGAGGCCAGTGGCTGCCAGCGCTAGCGCTTCTCAGCGAGATGCGGGAGGCGGCCTCGAGACCAGACACCATCAGCTATAACGCCGGGGTTAGCGCGTGCGAAAAGGCCGGGCAGTGGCAGCAGGCACTCGCGCTGCTGAGTGAGCTGCGGGAGGCGGAGCTCAGCGCGAACGCGATCAGCTACACTGCCGCGGTTAGCGCGTGCGAGAAGGGCGGGAAGTGGCAGCTGGCATTGTCGCTGCTCAGTGTGATGAGGGAGGCGGCCCTGGAGCCGAACGCTATCAGCTTTAGTGCTGGAGTGAGCGCCTGCGGGAGAGGCAGTCTTTGGGAGCAGGCGGTGTCGCTGCTGCGGGAGGTGCTGGAGAAGAGGCTGACGCGAGACAGCATCCATGTCTACTCGGTGTCGTGCTCACGGGGTGTGCAACGAGGGGGAGGGGGAACACGAGGAGAACGGATGATGAGGAGGGGGGAGGTTGAGGATGAGGGAGAAGAAGGAGAGGAAAAGGAGGAGCAGACGGATGACGAGGGAGGAGAAGCAGGAGCAGGGAGCAGGATGGACCATTGGGGAGGAGGAGGACGAGGAGGAGGAGGAGGAGGAGGAGCAGTGAAGAGGCAGGAATGAAGAGGAATGATGATGAGGAGAGGTTTACGAGGAGCAGGGGGGAGGAGAAGTTGGAGGAGGAGAAATAGAAATATAAATAGGAATAGGAATAGGAGTAGGAATAGGAAAATGATTAGTACTACGAATACCTTAAATCATAATAACAAAGGTAGAAAAAAGGAATAGGAACAGGAATATGACAATGACAAGGAATAGGACTATGCATATGTATGAACATGTATAACTAGAGTACGATGCCGTGGGAGGAGGAGGAGGAGGAGGAGGAGGAGGAGGAGGAAACGGAGTATGAGGAGGAGGACAAGGGGGAGGACGAGGGCGATGATGATGAAGAGGAGGAGGAGGAGCAGGCTGAAGAGGAATAGGAGTAGGAATAGGAATTGGAATCATAATAAAACAATGAGAATTCGTATGAATAGCTAAATGACGATGTTATGCGATGTTATGGGAGGAGGAGGTGGAGAAGGAGAATGAGGAGGAGAAAGAGGAGGCGCAGGAGGAGCAGAAGGAGCAGGAGGAGGAGGAAGACGAAGACGAAGATGAGGATGCCGATGATGATGATGTTGATGAGGATGATGAGGATGAGGATGAGGATGAGGATCAGGATGACGATGGTGATGCTGATGATGATGACGAAGAAGGTGATGAGATGATGACGGTGATGATGCTGATGCTGCAGATGATGATGATGATGATGATGATGATGATGATGATGATGATGATGATGATGATGATGATGATGATGATGATGATGATGATGATGATGATGCTGATGATGATGATGGTGATGACGATAATGATGATGGTGGTGCTGCTGAAAATATTAATGATGATGCTGATGATGATGATAATGCTGCTGATGATGATGACGATGATGATGATGATGATGATGCTGATGATGATGGTGATGGTGGTGGTGATGATGATGATGCTGCTGATGCTGCTGCTGCTGACGATGATGATGATGAGGAGGAGGAGGAGGAGGAGGGCGAGGAGGAGGAGGAGGAAAAGGAGAAGGAGGACGAGGAGAAGGAGGAGGAGGAGGTATGAGAAGCAGGATGTGGAGGAAGAGAAAGTGGAAGCGGAAACGGGGGGTGTATGAGAAATGTGTGCACGGAGCAGTTGGAGGGAGGAGGAGGAGGAGGAGGAGGAGGAGGAGGAGGAGGAAGAGGAGGAGGAGACGAGGAGGGCGCGCGGTCGTGTGGAACCGCTGCAGCCCCCTCGCGGCCCCGCGCGTCGCGCCTCCCTCCCCCCCTGGGTGGCTCCTGGCCCCCCCGCCTCCCGGAGCTGCCTCTCAGCGGCTCCCCGCCTGCTCGCTGTCGTCCCCCCCCCTCCGCCGCCTCCCCCTTCTCGCTCTTTCGCCCCCCTCGTACGTCGGGGGCCCGCCGCGGCCGCGTCGACGGCGGACGCCCCGGGAGCCTCGAGCCTCGACCCTCCTCGTGCTCCTGGCCTCGCCTTGCCCCTCCCTCCTGGCCTCCCCTCCTCCCTCTTCGCCCCTCCTCGCCCCTCCTCCCTGCCCCTCCTCGCCCCTCCTCGCCCCTCCTCGCCCCCCCTCCCTGCCCTGCACTGCCCTCCCTCGCCCTCCCTGCCCCCGCTGGAAGGTTCTCGAGCCCTCCAGGCTCCCCGGGCCCACGGTGGAGCACCCCCGTATCCCCACTCCTTCCTCTCCCTCCCCCCGCGTCGTCTTCTTCCCGCGTGCTTCGAGATGCGTGCGCGTCAAGTCGTGTGGATCGCGGGTCGTGCCTATCTTGTACTGCGCGGGCATTAGCGCGTGCGAGAAAGGAGCGCAGTGGCAGGCAGCGCTGTCGTTGCTTAGCGAGTCGCGTGCAGCGGCGTCGGAGCCAGATATCATCACCTACAGTTCTACAATCAGTGCTTGCGAGAAGGGCTCACAATGGCAGCAGGCACTGGCGTTGCTCAGCGAGCTACAGGAGGTAACGATGGAGCCAAACCTGATCAGCTACAACGCTGGAATCAGTGCGTGTGGCACTTGCGGGCGATGGCAATGGGTGATGACGTTGCTTGAGGATTTATGTGAGTTGTCTTTGGAGCCTAACGAAATCACCTATAGTGCCAGCATCAGCGCATGCGAAAAAGGTGGGCAGTGGCAGCGGGCGTTGTCACTCTTGAGGGTGATGAGCGAAACGGTCTTGGAACCGAACTCCATCAGCTACAGTGCTTGTATGGACGCGTGTCAGAAAGGTGGACAATGGGCGCTGGCGTTGTTGTTGCTCTGTGAGGTGCGCGAGAGGAAGTTGCAGCCAAACAGTTGCAACTACGAGGTTGGAATCGGTGCATGCGAGGAGACTGGGCTGTGGCAGCAGGCGCTATCCATGTACAGCGAGCTTTAATACAGGAAGTTGTAGCCGCTTCGTAGTTGTCGCAAGCCGTCTGTAGAGTTCGTTGCCAAAGCATGGCGTCATCCGGGAGTGTTTCGGCACGGCGAACTTGTCTTTGAGCTGTAGTCACGGAGGCACCCCAGGTATCGGCGCTGAAGGACATGTTCGAGGCGATGTTGGAAGCCTGGCAGTGCTGGCCGTAATGATGGAAGGGCCCTTCTGCTGAAGTTCTCGGAGCCTTGAGTGACCTCGATGGATGTTGAGCCGAAGAGAAGAGAATGAGAGAGAGAGAGAGAAAGACAGGGCACGAGTTACCCAGATGTATCGGCTTCGACGTTGCCAAGTGCAGGGGCAACATGGCTGTTCGCAGTGGTCATGGCGAGTGAACCGATCCCGTCTCTGTTGTTGCATGAGCTTTACAGTCGGGGCCCTGAATAAGGAACCCTTTCGTTGGGGAGGGGCTCCGCGTTCCTTAAATGTTTCGCAGCTTGCCTCAGGTTTTCCTTATGTTTTCGATCGGAAATCGAAGTTTAACTTATGGAAAAAGTGGCCTCGTTCCTTTTTTAGGGTTCCTTAGGTCAAGGCCCCGACTGTACACGTCCCGACGCCTCTGGCCCCTGGCTGCAGCAGCGGAGCTGGACGGGTCGAGGAGGGGTGCATGCGGGGTGCAGCAGGCGGCGAGCGGTGTTCTGCTGACGAGCTCCACCACGGCAGTAGGAGGAGGAGGAGGAGGAGGAGGAGGAGGAGGAGGAGGAGGAGGAGGGGGAGGAGGAGGAGGAGGAGGAGGAGGAGGAGGAGGAGGAGGAGGAGGAGGAGGAGGAGGAGGAGGAGGAGGAGGAGGAGGAGGAGGAGGAGGAGGAGGAGGAGTCGGACACGAGCTACGGCTGGTTACGATCTGCGAAGCCGTTCCTTCCCCTGCCTTCGTCATGCGAAGCGGGCCTCGCTGGGCGGGTGCCCCCCGCGCCAACTTCCACGTGGGGGGGCGGAGGTGTCCAGAAAAGGAGCCCCGCCCGCGTCGTCGCCCTCGGTGGAAGGTGTCGGAAGTAAAACGGCTGGAGGTCGCGCACAGTCGAGGTTGATTGGTAGGTCGACCCTGCCAATTCAATGGTACCCTTGCATCCTGCGTTTCGCGACCCGTGCCTTCTGCATGTCAGAGGCAATGTGACCCTCGGAAGGGTCTTGCGTCCTCTCGCGTGTCCTCTCCAATCAACCTCGACTGTATGGGGTGGGGATGTGGCACGAAGATGCCCACCTGCCTCTGCTCGCTCTTCGTCGGGCTCCCGGTTCAGCAGAGTGACTATGCCAGCGCCGCCCGCACGGTAGTTTGGAGCCCCGCACGAGAACTCCCGCGCCGATTGGTCATCGGGGGTAGTGCGCGTTTGTCGGGAAGTGAAGCGGCACCTTCGGTCTCGATGTATCTCTCAAGGGCTTCCGTTAGGCTTGTGGCGACCCTGTCGTTCCGAGTTCTTCGGTGGGTAGTTTGCCAGCCCAGCGCTAGGACCCCAGTCAGTCGTCAAAGTCAGAGGGCGAGGTGCGGTGGACTGGAGCTGCTGAAGTGGCGGCGGCTCCGCCGGCCCGAGGTCGCTGGACGGCGGCGGAAGTAAAACAAAAAACTTAAACATTCCTGGGCTCACGGCCTCCTGGCTCCTGCCCGAGGAGAGGCGCCGCTGCTGCTCCAATCGACCCTCTCAGTCGCCGACGCCGCCTTCTTCAGTGGCGCGCCTGTGGCCGTGTGGCCCGGTGGGGGCCTGGCGCTTTACTCTCTTTGCCTGCCTTCTT